AATGAACATAAGAAGACTACTTATCGGGCTGGAGAGATGGCTCAGTGGCTAAGAGCACTGGCTGCTCTTCCAGAGGTCATGAGTTCAATTCCCAGCAACCACAAGGTGGCTCACAACCATCTGTAATGAGAGTTGGCACCCTCTTCTGGCATGTGGGCATACATGGAGGCAGAATGATGTATACGCAATAAAAATAAATAAGTCTTTTTTTTTTTTTAAAAAAAGAAGACTACTTATCTTCTGGGGGTGAGTTGAGAAGTAAGCAGTAAATACTGTGAAACACCTGGAAAAACAGCTGGCACATAGCATTTTTATATTAGTTAATTGGCTTTTACTTTTACTAACAATATATTTATTACAAAATAAACTTGTTTGTAATATATAAACATAAATGTGTATATGAAGAGAAAGAGAATGTGTTGACTGTATAAAAGATACTGTGACAAGGATTTGCTCTACTGGTATTTCATAATAAGAGCTATATTCCTCATGCCAACTGGGGTGCTTGTTGCTGTTTCTGTTTTGTGGTTTTTATATGCCACCATTTGGGCAAAATCTATCCTAAGGAAAGGTAGGCTGTACGTGTGAACTCTCCAAACAAGTGACCATCTAAGCAAGTTCTCAAACTTCATGGTATGGTATTCTTCCATCCCTTCTTTCTATTGTTCTTAGCATGACGGGTCGTACTGACAACAGTGCAGATTAAGCAGTCACTGAAAAATAGGTGTTTAATAAAATTTGCCTGAGAGATAGAGAGAGGCACAGAAGGCAGAGACTGAGAGTGAACATACAGGTCATTACAACGGAATTGCTATCATTTGCATCTTAGGTGTCTCTTGAAGGCCCATGTGTTTAAGATTGGGAGGGAGTCCTAGGTTATTGGGTGGTATCCTGAAAGGGATTATGGGACCCTGGTTATTTCTTCTCACGCATTGTGTTTCTGGTCACAGGGCCTACGCACTTCCATGCCATGATGGTCTGTCTGCCTGCCAAGACCCAGTGGGGCTAAGTGATCAGTTGCTGGACGGGATTGTCCCTAGCTGTGAACCGAAATCACTTCTTTTGTTTTCGTAAACCCAAAGCATCAGGGCCTAAGTAAAGTGACGGAAAGGCTGATGACACAAACATGCAGCTGAGAAACTGGCATCGATGTCGGGTCATCAAATTTTCTTAGTAACCAGGTAACCCTGGCTCTGTGCTGCTTGGGGTACAGGGTTATTAGAGCCCCCCTTCCAAACAAATGAGCACTTAGGTTTTCTTTGCAGTATTAAGACTAAATAATACCTAAGACAATCTAGATACAGTGAAACATGTCTTCAAGGTAATAATGATCATGTAAGTATTTCTGCTTAAAGACTTCTTTCAAAACTAAGTGAAGTTAGTCAACTCTTATACACATAGACTCCGTCACTTTAGTAACTCAGTTTAGGAAATGTAAGGTTGGAACAGACCATCCAAGACTACAAAACTTGTGCAACCAGAGCAGTGTAAAAACAAAATTGGTTCCTGGAATAATAACCCCAAGAGCCTAGTTTAGCTGTTCATGCTGACCAAATGCTCAGCACCATTGAGATAGATAGGGAGATCTGCGGCTGTGGTGAAGGTGGGGGAAGCTGGAGCCTGCAATAGCCCTTAGTCATCAAGTGAAAGTCACAGGGCAGGGCTCTATGTCCCTAAGGTGCTTATCCTGCATATGAAGAGTTTTCTTCCCTAAAAATGCTATTTATAGGGCAAATGTGGTCTCCAAACTGTTTTCCCTAGTTGATGATGGTCGTGCTCTGATCCTGCTGTGACAAGGCCTTCTGCCCAGACAAAAAAGATCAATTTGCTGATATTACTAATCATATTCCCATCAATCATCTATGTATGATTTGATTTACATTTTAGATTATCTAAATGGAATTGAATTGGGTTGGAATGGTTTAGAACAGTGACAAATCCACTTGCTTTCAACCATCTGAAGGAGAGTTAGAATTTGAGTTAAGTTGCTGAGAATCTTTAGGAACCAAGAAGTGAATGGGGAAATCAAGTGGCTGGAAGCAAAAATAGTGGGATGAGTTCTCAAATTATAGACAGTGAGCTTTCGATACACGGAAAGCAATTGGTATATACGGTTTAGTCTACTTAATCCTCACAGTAATGCTTTTCATGTTGTTTTTTTAGCACCCCAGGTTAAAATGAGGAACATAAAGAACAGAAAAAGGTCGCTTGCAGAGGCCATGAGAGGTGCAGGGGGTGGGGTGCCACAGCTCCTAAGCTGCTGGGCCTTCTCCATTGACTTGCCTTTTAAATGCTGCCTCTGATGTTGTCCTCATTCCTGGATGATGCACGGTTATATTTGGGCTAATGGTGAACCCCTGAATCAGCCTCCTGAAGCACAGGTAGAGATACAGACTCAGAGGTGTCTCCTGTGAGTGTGCTTCTCAAAGCCAAAGCTGGGAGAAAAGGAAAGCAAGGTGGACAGCGTATAGTTTCGTGGTGGAGCTCTGGGATGGGCCATCATCAGCCATTTCTCTCCTGCTCCAGCCCTGATATCCTGCTGTCCTTTCCTACAGCCCTCCCTCCTGCACGGAGATCAAGGCCGTCTGTTGGCTTAGAACAAAAGGTTGACTCTGGAAGGGACAGTATATTTCTGCTGGAAACTTTCTTGGGATACTTGGGATTCATCATTAATATCATTCTGGTTTCCTTCTCTCTTGAGGAGGAGACATGAAGTGAAGTCAATATCAAAATAAAATAGGAGGAAGGTGTGTTTGGGAGTAGAGAGAAAGCCAGGAGAATGAGCCCTGGGATTCAAAGAGGTAGACCTGGGAGGGGCTTCCCAGAATACAGAACATCCAGGAAGCACCAACCACAATTATGCAGCCGAATTCCTGATGGAACAAAGTAGCCAGAGAGATTTAACATCCCCAGGTCTCTGTTTGCTCTTTCTACCCTCAGCCTGTTTCCAGCTGTTTCCAACTTCAAAAGGATTAAAGGATTGTGGCTTACTTCAGTGAGTGGGAGGGTATTTATGGCTGATCCCAAGGCTTAGGAGCCAGAGAAGTAAGGAAATCTTGATCCTACAAAACAGGTGGAGGCACTGAAAATCAAAGCAATGGAATAAACCCAAGAATTTTTGAGAGAAAAGGAATTAATTGATATAAAGGAAAGAACCCTAATGGGGGGCAGGGAGGCCATCTGGAGAATGAACCCTTCGATGGTTCTGCCCGACCCCAAGAAAATATCCAGGACCCATCTACTAGGCCGAGAGTGATTTGCATTGTCTGAGAGGTTTGGGAGATCCAAGAGTCTTTGCCTAAGGGAAAGTCGGTCTACATTCATTCCTGTTTTAGAACTAGAAGGGATTTTTCAGAAGAAATATAAATGCATATACATCACTCATTCTTTATGTAGAAACCTCCAGGGCACCAGTTTTAGTTTCAGGTGATGAGATGGTGAGGCCAATGGAGAAAACAAAGGCTGCCATAGTAAAGACAAGGACCCAGGCCCGTGGGAGGTAGTTCTTGAGCCATGAGGGACAGCGACAACTAGGAATCCATAGATGGGGCTCAGGAGTCCATGTTCACTCAGTTTCAAGAGGTTGGATAGGCGAGGTCTAACTGAAGGCAGGCATTTAATTAAATAATGGGGTCTGGTAAAGGGATGGATCTTAGGATAGTGTGTCTCCCGTCACATCCCCTGCCACCTTGGGCGCAAAGTCAGCAGGTTAGAGTTCTCAACTCCTCCCAGAACCACTAACCCAGGGTTTCTGGGAGTATGGTCCAGGAGTCTGTGCTTTAACAAGCACCACAACGTATCTCCTCCCTTCTCCATATGAATTTTGGAGGCTCACCACAGGTTTGGGTTTTATTAATTTTTATTTAAGATTTTAGGTGCTCAGGCAATAAACAAAAACAGTAATCCCATTATATCCCAGAATTATAGAGTCTGGAAAAGCAATGGTATTTATAACAGGATAAACATTAATATAAGTACAAGGCACCTAGCACACCTAGCTACATAATAAAAAAAATTTGAAATTTATGCCCTGGCAATGCTGCAGCTTACATGGGCAGCCCACATATGGCGGTTCTGTTGAACGTGTCCATATTGGGTTTCATGGTCTAAGTTGATGAGGACGACTGACCAAGTCTCTTCCTCAGCTACATAATAACTAGGGCATAAACGTGGGTTGACTCACCTAAACCATTGCATTTGTATATTTCATACAAATCCTAGGCTGAAATGTCTGTGACCATGGACAGAGAGGCTGGCACCAAGAGGTACCAGCTAAAGAATGCTAGCTCCTCCCAGGTCTAGGATAGGGAGGTCAGCAATGCTATTTCCTGTGGCTGAGATGCCAGAGAAAAGAGATGCCATGATTAGTGTCTTCCATTCCCCAGTCGCATGTGGAACCAGCCCTGGCCTTGGCTTTCCTGTTCTGTGTGGGGGTTCTCTTTAAAGCCCTGGCTTCCTGGTTCCCTTCCGGAGGCCAGACCACTCATCATGGAACTCAGGGAAGCTGCTTCCCTCTTCCTATGATCTGCCTGGAGTAGGAGATATAATGGGTCAGCCATGATGTAAACATAGGGTGCATGTTACTGTCTCGAACGCTCAGACCTGAATAATCACGTAGAAACTATATTAATTACAACACTGTTTGGTCAGTGGCTCAGGCATGTTGCTAGCTAGTTCTTACATCTTAAATTAACCCATTTCTAGTAATCTATATATCACCACGAGGCTGTGGCTTACCAGTAAAGTTCCAGCATCTTTCTCCTTTGGCAGCTACATGATGTCTCTGACTCTGCCTACTCTCTCTATATATCTTTGTTTGGGTTGCCTGCTTGGCTACATTCTGCCCTTCCATAGGTCAAAGCAGTTTCTTGATTAATCAATGGTAATAAAACATATTCACAGTATACAGAGGGGAATCCCACATCAATAGATATTCAGGAAGATTCCATGCGAGGGTGATGCATTCCTCCAGCTTTGCTCTGGAAATGAAGACGGCTTACCTGGGTCATGCCTGTGCTGGGCATCTGCACTGTGACTATTCCCTCACTCTGATATGCTGCTCTCTGGTCCATCAGCTGCCTGTGAAGAAAATGTGAGTAGGTGGCTTAGGCAGAACACTGGCTCTGGGAACACTGGCCCTGGGAACAGCTTCTTGACGCATGCCCCACCCTCACTCACCATACATCACCTCATAGGAGCCAAACCGTTTTATTGGCATATTTCAACAATAATCACTTAGGGTCAGTTTAGGTAGTGGAATATTTTTTGCCTTTTTATCTATTTTGTTTTTTAAGATTTATTATTAGTAAATGTGTATGTCACATGCATACATGTTTGAATGCCAATGCCCTTGGAGACCAGAGGCTTAGGAACCGCTGCAGCTGGAGTTATAAGTATTTGTGAGCTGCTAGATGCGGGTGCTGGAAACCAAACTTGGGTCTGCTACAAGAGCAGAATGTGCTCTTAGCTGTTGAGTCCTCTTTCCAGGTCCTGTTCTGTGTTTTTGAGACAGGTCTCACAATGCAGCATAGGTAGCTTTGAACTTAAAGTCCCCCTGCTTGAATTCTAGGCGTGCAAAACCACACCTGGCCTGCTAGGTGTGAGGCCTTAAGCACCTGTGAGAAGCAGACCTGTGAGAAACAGACGGCCTCGCTCTTTCTCTGCTGATTTCATACAGTCGCTGATTTTCAGACACTACTTTTCTTAGTCTCAATAGTTTTTAGCTAATATTCTTAGCCTGTATGCCTAAGGGGCCCAAATTAAATCTCAACATGGCTTGTAGAAACAATGAAAGGCTGAGGTAATATAACTGTAAAAATAAGGTTATGTCACTGGGCACAGGCAACTGTACTCAGTTTGGTCTGTGTCCATTAGCTCAGGTAATTTGCAAGGGCTGGAATCTTCAAGGGGGACCAGACTTGGCTTTCTCCAACAGAACTGTATTCCAAGACTAGTTCAGAGGCAAGGACAACCAAACTTTTACACTTAAAAAAGGTACAGAAGTTCCCTCATGACAGTCTGTGGGGGAAGTTGAGGGAAAATAACTCATGCCTGGGTTCCTCTCTACCCAGGTGCCAAGCAGCACAGGAAACCACAAGAGCTGTTTGCTAAGGCAGTATCTTTTTGGAGGTTACCTTCACTTCAGCATGACTGAGTGGGCATAAAGATTAGCATGCTGTCATGGGTCCTTTACAAGAGTTCATCATCCTGAAAACAGAAAGGAGGCTTGCTTAGCTCTTATGGAACCATCTTCAACCGCTCTGTGGAGGAAGGATACGCCCCTGAGAGTCCATGGTTTTTAGCCAAGTATGAACGATTTGGCAAGTTTCTCAGAGCCGCCTCCTGAAGGTTGTTCCTGCAATGGTGAAAGCTCCAACTGTGAAGGCCTCATCTAGGAAACCCACTGGCTCCACTCCACTCTCAACTCCGCTTGTCATTTTGGAACAGACAGATGAGCCTATCAGGAACAGACCCTGTGGTTTGCAAGGAGAAGAGAGCAAAATTTTTAGTAGGAATTCAGTCATCACTTCACTCCTTAGTAAGCAAGAAGAGAGAAAGGTGTTAGTGGCACACAACCAAATATAATAGCCTCAGCTATGTGAAACTCAATGTACGTCTTGGAATTTTTGAAGCTGAAGTTGTCCATGCCAAAATACACTTGGGCAACACAACCTGAGAAAACAGAGTTTTAAATAAAGCATTCTGGCATCTTTTTCTAATGACACATACTGTAATATACCAAGCTATGTCTTTTCTTCCAACACCATATATGTCTGGTCCTAACCCAGAGGAAAAGTATGACTTGGCCTCCCGGAGGTCTGCTGTGGCAGCTGATCCAAGAGGCTGTAGGAAGACATAGAAGACGAAGATACTGTTGTCTTCCCCTAAGAGGTGGAGGGTCCATGTCCACACACCCTTGGTTTTAAAGTGTTAGTATATGACTTGGGCTGGGCATGGGCAATGCCTGTCCCCGTTTCTCTTGGTTTTAAAGAATAAGTCTATGCAGATGACTTGGAATGGGCTTGGCCAATTGTCAAGCTGTTCTGAACTCAAGCAAAGGATAGTTAAGTCCTCTTTCATGCTTTGAAAAGTTGCCCAGGAAAGCCAAATCGTCTTTCTGTGGTCTGATCTCACCAAGAGTTAATGCCATTTCAGTTAGAAGAGTCAAGCTCAATGTTAATATGATTTTTCTATGACTTAAATATTCCAACTAAATATGTGAATTTATTTTTTGTGAGAAAGCAAGTAGAATGTTTATTTTGGTCATTGCAACAATCATATCTTTGGCTTGTGTTAAGGATGGTTGGTCTCCCGGGCTTGGCTAGAAATTCACAACATGGGAATTCACAGAATTTTCATAAAAGCAATTGGAATGACAGTGTTTTCATGAGCTCCCAGGGTGAACATCTATTAACAAAAGATGCTTTGCTTCCCGCACACCTGCGCAGTTCTCCACAGGGGCCCAAGCAATACACGTTCCAATAGAGCAGCGCCAATAAAATCAAATAAAAATGAGGTTCCCAGGATGAGAATGGAGATTTACAATATTACCACAGTCAGTGCATTGGAGAAGGAGTGGAGGTTTTGGAACTAGCTTTTAAAGTAGAAAATCATTACAAAAAATAGATTTGCAGTCATAAATCATATAACTTTGACCACTGAACACTCTATTATACAGGGCGCATCTGTGTGTATGTGGGGAGGGTGGGAAGGACTCAGAGGCTGAAGAAATTTGGAAGAGTTTGAAAAGGTAGGAAACGTCTAGCAAAATAAGAATTCTTTTTCCTTGCACATTTCTGGAGAAAAAAAATAGCGGTCTTTTGCAATCTCTGCCTAAATTAATGTGTTTATACTTGATAGCTTAATGTCGTAAGAACGTAAGACATCAAAATCCACTAAATCCCACTTTTCTAAGAGGCAGAGGCCTGTTGAGGTCTCTAGAGAAACAAGGTAACAACTTGACTCCCGGAACGACCAGCACTTCATATTTAAGCACAGTTCCAGCATCTCTAAGGTTCTGTCATTGCATGAGCATTCGAAACATCTCTAGATCTTACATTAATAGTCAGCCTCTTTTGTGGTGTGAATATGGTGAGTCCCACTGTGGAACTTTAATAAGTGGGCTGGAGACCAGGGCTACACCTTCATGAATGGATCAGTCTATTCAGTTGATGAGTTATCTCAGGATGGATTTCCTGAAAACTCAGTTTGGTAAGTTTTACACAATCCCATTTTCACCATGTGAGGCCCTATAGCACCTCAGGGCTGCCAACAAGAAGGCTTTCTCTGAGGTTCCTGATCTTGGATGACAACCATAGGTCAAAATAATTCTCTTCTCTTTCTAACTTATCCAGTCTGTATCATCTTGTTATTAGCAACAGAAAATGGACAACAGATCACACTCATAACAAGTAAAAGGCAAGGTCTTTTGCCCTTCCTTAAAGAACTTACTTTTTATTTGGAACAGAAAAAAAATGACAAAGACATAAATGATAGAAAAATTTCTAAGAGGACCACGTTCGTACCATAGTCTCTGCTGGTGCCAGAGGAGGAAGTGTCTTGAAGAGCACGCTCTTCAGGGTGAAATGTGGGTAGAAAGATGGTAGATGGGGGCCAATGAGGATCAAGTCAATAGCTCTCCGTGGAAGGAGGATGTCCTGGACAGTGGGAGAGTGGCGGAGGGTATGCCATCTGGAAAGGCCAAATGAGAAGCCATGAATGGGAAAGAGCTGGGTGAGGTGAGACTGTGAGGGGCTAAACAGACACTCTTGGTAAGGAAACAGGCACATGGGACTTTTGTTTATTTTCATTCATCCCAGCATCAATTTCAAACACCTGCGTGTATTAGGTTCTGCCAGGTGCTGCAGATAGGTGACTATGTTCATTACCTTTCATCTCTGAGACAAAATATACAACAAAAGCAATTGAATGGAGGGAGGGTGTATTTTGGTCCAGAGGTCTTTCAGGGTCTTGTGGCGAGGAAGGCGTGGTGGCAGGGCAGCTGCTTGCGGTGGCATTCATGGTGGTGGGAGGATATGGCACAGACACCTCACGCTGAAGTGTCCCAGAAAGCGGAAAGCTGAACCAGAACTGTGGGCAGGCTTAATATGCAAAGGCCTGCTCTTAGTGACCTACTTCTACAGCCTGGATCAACCTTCTAACAGCTCCACAACCTTCAAAATAATTCTACAAATCCAGAACCAAGCTTTCAAAGCATGAGTAAGCTGGGGGGAATTTCACACTCACATAACAGGAACACCAACCCTCAGGGGTCTTTAGTGAACCCACTTCTCTATGACACCTTCTAGAAAAGACAGAGAAGTGTTTAAAATTCACCAAGACAAGCAGAGGGCGAGAACGCAGGAGGCTGCCGGCTACGACAGGCGCATGTGCTGCTCCCACTTCAGAGGGCTGCTCACAAAGGAAATACTCAGTCTGTTGGCTCACACTCGTCATAATTGACTCTATGACTAGGAACTGTAGGCATCCAAGAGTAGGAAGGGCATGCCTAGCCACTCAGGAATGTGGAGGCAAGGGAGTTATTTGCTTTGGATTGGGTTGGTCACTTCTCAGAGTGTTGCAATGGTGCTCGTTCAGTCAGCTTGCTCAGTCTGGAATGGTCTTCAGAGCTGGAGCCCACAGAGAAGATCTTCCCAGAGGAGGTGTCTCAACAAACTCATGTGTCAGTATGACCTGTGAAGTATGCAAACATTTCCTCCCAGCAAGCACGACTCAAAAGTGTGCAAATGAACTCAACATAGTTTTTGAAGTAAATGTTGAAAAAAATATAGATGCTTAAAAATGGACCCCTCTCTCCACTTGCCTGAATATTCCCTTGCTGCACTGCAGTGACATATGTGAACATGATCAAGGGATGTTCCCAGCTTGGTTTCTGTAACTCTAGTCTCAATCCTATTAAAGAAAGAATGCCGGGCTGTGCAGTAGGTGAGGCCCACGATAATCTGTCTGAGAAATAGTCATATAGAAAAAGCACAAAATTTTTCTCATAACTATTATTTTTCTCGTTATACTAATAAAATATAGTATGTTTGGATCAATAGTAAAAGTGTTTTGACCAAACATTTTTGAGAGTACATTATTCTTGACTTTTTCTCTTCAGAGCCAGTGTTTCTGGGACTGCCTCAGGATCACACATCTGTACTTCTCATTAGGTAAGCAGGGTCCCAATGATAATCCGGAAGCTGTGGGGGTGTCTAAATGTACTCACGCCAAGATTATTTGGATGCAGGAGATGGGTCATAGCCATAGAAGCAACAAATTTCAGCCATTGTAGTTTCTATAAAACAAAAATAACAAAAGGCAGGTTCTCAGGACAGTTTGTTGTTAGTGGCCTCTCTGTAAAGTTGAGCAAAATGAAAACGCAGTGGTTGAGGATTCTGGCGAAGATCAGGTTCTGTAGCTCTAGGGTTTTCTAAGTTAGGTATCCAGACATTGAGGCTGACTATAACAGGCTGTTTCTGGCCTGCTGGTACTAAACGCTGGTTCATTTCCCTGCGCCTCTGACTTCCCACTGCTTCGTTCTTTCAACATTTGAAAACAGAAGTCACTTTGAAGCGGTGTCTGCTTTTGTCCACCCAACTCACTCCCAGCTTGAAAAATCTCACACAGCAAGCAGACATGTAAAACACAAAGCCAAACAAATATTTACCCTTGCAGCCACAGATGAGTGTAGCTCTCATCCTTCGCGGTCCAAGTCCAGAGAGTAACTGATGCTGGGTACCAACCCCTGTGGATGCATCTACAATGTAATTCCTGCACCGAAGCTCAAGGAACATTTGGAAGAAGGAGCAGGAAATTCGTAAGGGCCAGAGGACTGGGAAGTCTGCCATGAGATTTGTCCTCTGAGGTGACAGGAAAGCTACGCCCACGATACTACAGCAGTATGGCTGGCTAAACGAGACCTGAACAAAGACAGCACCAACAGACACGCTAATGTGGAAGGGGAGAATTGCACTGGGCCCCATCACTGGACAAAGGACTACAGGTAAAAGGATGTCCTGAGAGAGGAAGAATTAGTCTTCCTAAGGGGTGAACCTTCTGATTGGTTACCTAACACCAAGTGATAAGCCCTGAGAGTCATATACATATAAATAACAGTAAATGAACTCAGCAGGTTGTATTTAAATATGTATGCACATGTCTGTAACAATAATAATCAAAGAAAAAGAGGCCATAAGGAAGTAAGGGGGGGACACGGGAAAGGTCGGAGGGAGAGGACATGAGATGTGTTGGGGGCAAAAAGGGAAGGAAAGAAATGGAGCAAATACATTTTAATTTAAAACTATTTTAAACACTTATGACAGTGGGCAGACGTCAGCGTGACATTTTTCTTTTGAGGAGCAGTGTAATGTAGGGTTCCTAGTTAAGGTTTTTGTTTCTGTGGTAAAACACCATGACCAAAAGCAGCACTGGAGGGAAAAGGGTTGGTTACATTGTACAACTCTGACTGAGAGAGGGCAGGGCAGGAACTCAAGGCAGGAATTTGGGGCAGCAACTGATGCAGAGACCATGGAGGGACAGGAATGCTGCTTCCTGGCTTATTCCTCATGGCTTGCTCAGTCGGCTTTCTTGGACATCTAAAACCACTTGCCCAGGGGTGGCACCACCCACAGTGGGTTGGGCCCTCCCACATCAACCACTAATTAAGAAAATATCTCACTGGCTTGCCAGTCTTATGGAGACATTTTCTTAATTGTGGCAACACTAGCTTGTATGAAGTTAGCAAAACAAAACAAAACTAAGCAGGACAGAGTGTGTGTTGGAAGCATGCAGCTGGGGGCTAGATGACCAAAGCTCAGATCCCAGCCCGAACATTTACAGAGTGTGACCTTGCACAAGTGTGAGCAGCCCCAGTTCACGTTCCTCATCTATAAAGAGGAAAAAAGGACAGTCTTTGTTTCCCTCATCTGCACAGGAGGCGAGACTGCCGTGTATTCCAGTGTGTGGACACAGGGCCTTGGGAAGCCATTACAGGGCAGGACTGGATCGCCATGTTACCCACATCAAAATCACCACTCCGCCGCTCCTTCTGAATCAACTAGCTACCGTGGCTTCCCTCTGAATACTGGCTTATCCCGACATGCCACTCTTTACTTCCTATTACTAATCTCTGATTGTGTACGAGTGAAGTCTGCTATCCAGCGTGTGCGCACCCAGAGAAGGTCAAGCCTTCTGTGCACACGGCCTTTTGAGTGACACAGTGTTTACGTTTGTTCACACTGATAACCAAACCTACGTGCTCAAGTCTTGCAGTGTTTTTATTTTTAAACTGACTCAGATCTTACAGGATTAAGGATTCTGTGGGTCTTGGATCCCTTCCTGGAGGCGGGGTGAACTAAAAGGGCCCTCTGGTGTGGGATCTGGCACTGGGGAGATTCAGAAGCTGAGCTGCAGAAGGAAACCTGGGGTCAGCTTGACGGAAACAGTATCTGCCTGCAGGGTCAGAGGGGCAGGAAGCAAGGCCAGGGCCAGGGCCTCCACAATCAGGAACAGGTGGGGAAAGGAAGCAGCCATCAAGATAGACTGAGGCAAATATTTCAGGCTGTAGCCTGGGAGCACGGGAACTGCCAGGGACTTTCAGCAGGTCTGTGGGGCTGACCCCACCAGCTTATTATTATTATTTTTAACATGTGCCTTTCTAAGGTCGTCTAAGGTGCGGTGTTTATACTGTTTAATTATCTGAGGGAAAGACATGCCTTGGGCAACTTGATACCTACCTTCTGAAGTCTGAGAGGAAGGGAATTCTGTAATGAGAACATCAGCCCCTCTCTGGGCTCAGTCCCTCCACTGAAGATACTTCTTGGAACAAAACTTCTTGAAAATGAAGTTATTCGCATAAGCTCCAGGAGTTCTACTGGTCAGTGCCACGTAGCAAAGTGACCACTTTGCTATACCTCCCACGGGCTACACAAAGCTGAAGTTACACAGGTTGGCTTTCTGACTACCAGAAATCTTTGCTTTGTCCTTAGCGCTTTCTTCTCTGGGGGCAGAGTTATCTCACCTCCTCACCCACTCCCCTGCCTTGTGAACAGCAGCAGTGATTGCCACAGACTCGCCTGAATCTCAGGAGTGTGAACACCTTTGTCTGTAAGAGATGGATTGTTTTCCTGGAACTAGCCTGCGGATAGACATCACTGTCTCCACTTAGCGGGTGAAGACAAAGAACCTGATAAAGTTTCTGTAACTTTGCCCAAGGCCACTTCGCAGGGTCATAGTCTGAGCACTTGGGGATTAAGTTCACGCGTGTCTGACTGTGTCTGACTTTTCACCTCCCTGATGAGCTGCTAGTAAGGATCAATCGTAACCACTTAAGGGGTGGCAAGCTTTAGGCCGGGTGTGCTGGTTTCCCAGGATGCACTGTTGAAGTATGGCGTAACTTCAGTTATGGGGTGGAAACAAAAGGACAGGATGCAGCTGGAGAAAAGAGCGAGGGGTAGAACGGGAACAATTATTCCTTTAGTGTGACTTGACTGAATGAACCAGAAAAGTCAGTGGGCCTTGGTCGCTCACTTTCTCCAGAGGGATGTGTGGGCAGACCAGACTGGCCGCAGGAGCCTCCTGCCAAGTCTGTTTTCAGAGCCTGAACTCATATCTGGTCACGTGCTTATCAACCTGCCCCGTGGCTTGCAACCCATGTCCCACACAGACACAAAGCCTCTCCACAGTGTGGCCTGTCTTTCCACCTGGACTGTGACTCTCCTTTCCCCACCTCCCTCGTCTGACTCACATGACACCATCCAAAGATGTCAGGTTCAAGCAGCCTGCAAATTAACTACTGTATTCAATTCTACTGTCTTTAGTGGATTAGACTCTTTGCACCCCACCCTGTCATGGCCTTTGTTCTGCTCTCAGAGAGTATCATTGGGTGTCCTCTGTTCTACCTCCAAAGATGCCACCAGATGGTGCCCTCTCTGTAAACCCCTCATGTTCTCTCCTGGATTCTGTCACCCTGCTCTGACTTACTGTTGCTCCTTGCTCACCGCGCCCCCCCATGGACCAGCAGGGCAGTTGCTACATTTTCCAGGTGCTACCTATGGAGGCGCTTCTGCTGCTTCCAGCGCCACCTTCTCCTCAAGCACGCACTTATAGCCTTTCACGTGGCCCTCAGGATTGGTTCTGAGTGCTCATCTTTTGTTTTATCCACATTAAGGAGTAAGGTTGTCAGTACTGAAGCTCAAGGCTGGTGGCAGCAGTGTCTCCTGCCTCCCTGGGCTCTGCTACTGACTGACTTGTCAGTTCAGAGTGGCTATAAAATGTGGTTCCCATTCCAGGCCCTCACTCTCCTCACACTAGGCAAGGTCTGCTGGCCACGTGCAGGCTGCAGAGAGACGGACGCTTCTGTCGGTCTTTCTTCTCCCTTACACCCTTCCAAGACAATAAGAAAAGCACGCCACAGTTCACAACCCAAAGGACCAAGAAAGAGACAACGAAACAACTTCCTAGGCACCCTCAATCCCATAAAACAAGGGTGTGATTATTTTTCATGGTTTTGATAAATATGAGGGGCACTGAAATTAGAAGCCATAAATTTGGGAAGAAAGAGGAGACAAACTGCTACATGGAATCTGCCTTATTAAAGTTAATTAAAGGAAGTGGAAATGGTCATTTATTAGCAGAACTTAGCCCTCCAAGGACTAGCTTGTGAATACAGATACATTTTTACTTAGAGTTATATGTGAAGCTATGGCAGATGTCACTACTTAGTACAGACTGCCCTTGAACTGCTGATCCTTCTGCCTCAGTCTCCCAAGTACATGTGCTACCATGTTTGACTCTAAGTACAACATGTCTCTTGAAACGTTAAAATGATAGGTGTCTATGTGTTACACACAGGTGCTCAACAGTGAGAAGCGGAGCACATGTGGGTCAGAGGGCAGCTAAGGGTTGTCCTTCCTTCCACCGTCTGGGTCCTGATGATCAAGCTTGGTTACCTGGCTTGGTGGCCCTTTCCCCATAAGCCATCTCGATTGCCTAGCAGAAAATCTTTTGATTCAAATCATAAAGCGATGACATCTTTTTCTGATCTAATCAATCTATTCATACAAATAACATTATAAAGCTATAGAATAAAAAGATATATGCTTATTTATTATAAACAACATTCTACAAAATTTGCCTATGTCAAAATAATTGACAAACACACATGCCTTTCCTTCTCCTCTGGACAGCAAACATAGGGCATTAGTTTAGAAAGCCACTATCCAAAGGCATTATGGCTGGGTTGAGGGTTGGACCTGCTTGCGTCCAATCTCAGTTACTTAGTAGTGTGAGGCAGGGGCATTGAAGTTTCAGGGACTGTGTTTGCTACGGAGTGAGTTCAAGGTCAGCCTGGACAGCTTAGTGAGGCCTTGTCTCAAAATGATAAGAGAGACATGAATGTGATAGAGTACATGCCTAACCTGTGAGAGTTCCTGGATTCAAAATTTGGTCACATGCGCGCGCGCACACACACACACACACACCAACAGACACAAAATCACACATACAAACACTCTCACACTCACATACCTATATACACTCTCTCTCATGTATGCACACTAACAGAAAAAAACCCACAGATACAAACTCTGTGCACTCTCACACACTCAAGAACATAGATTAGAATCTTTCATTTTCAGATCACTAAAATCTTTAAAACTTAAATATATTAAGGTTGTAGTTCTTAATATTTAAAAATAAAGAGAATATAAACTAAAAGGCAGAGATCTTTACTCATTCTATCTCAAGTACTTTTGGAAATACAGTTAAAATGAATTTCATATTTA